TCCACACCCTCAGACCCACAGCCTGTCCAGTCCCAGGTCTGTGCCACCATCCCCTCCCCCCAGCTTCTCAACACCACACTTCACATTCCTCTTCACAGTCCCACCTGCCTGTTCCCACCTGGCTAGGCCTGGTCCCCCAGCCCCTCCCACAGCCTCTTTCGCAGTCTCAATAACACCACCCTTTCTGAAGCACCCCCACACACTCTCACTGCTCCTCGGCACTTTCCCTGCCGCTGGCTTCCTGCTGCACGGCCAGCACACCCTAGGTTCCTCCCAGGGCCCAATGGGAATCCTCCCATTCAAACCAAAGCCCACTCCGGTCTGGTCTCAACTACTAGCTTCCGGGGGCCCTGCTTCTCTGGGCCAGTTCCTCCTGTCTTTTGGTCTGGAAGAGAAAAGAAGGGGGCGGCAGAGATGGAGTCCCCCACGTCTCAGCTGGGGAGAAATGGGGTTCTGAGTGCAAGCCTACCTTTCAGGAGCTGGGTCAGCCCCACTGTCTTAGTCCTCCAGGCAGCCTCAGCAGTCTGGGGGAGAGGGCACAGGAGGGGGCGAAGGGAGAGGACTCCAGGGAGAGATGGGCGGTTTCTGGGCCCTTCCACCTCTCTTGGGTCTTTCTTGGGACTCCACAGAACAGCATCCATAGCACCCTTGGCCCACCCCACTTCTAGTCCTTGTCCTGGGGGGTGGTCTTCGCCCTTAGCCCAAGCTGAGCCTTTCACCAACACCTTCAGAACTGTCTCTGAGGTGCCCCTTTGGTTTCATCACCAGTCCTAGCTACCAGACCACGTTTGCCTGTCTGCACTCTCCCCCACTGGCGAGGCTGCCCTGGACTGAACAGGGGCTGAGGGCCTGCCTGGGCAGCAAGGTCAGGGCCCAGTGTGTGTGTTCCTGCAGGGAGTGGGGGACGGCGGGTTTGGTGCCCAGGGATCTGGATGGAATTAGGGGCCGGGCAGGCAGGGGCCAGGATTGGGGAGGGGGGGAGGCTGCAGCAGGAAACGTGAGCTGCCCTCATTAGACCCTCACGTGCTCCTCGGATTTATAAACACGGGGAGTTGGGATGTAAACAATCAGTGGGCAGCAGCCAGAGCAGAGCTGGGGGGCAGGGGGGCGAGCAACACCATGGGAGGGGGCTGCCATGGCCCCTCTGCCACCCACTCACCAGGTCCACCTGCAGGCTGCCCACTGCACACTCCCTCCTCCTTTGACCCTGCTAGGCACCACCCCAGGTGTCTGCCGCCAACAGGCTGCAGTGTGCCCAGCTAGAGGGACAGGAATTGGACACCTCCTGGCCCCCACATGTGGTGTGGAGGGGCGCCTGTCTTTGACTCTCGCCCTCTTGCCTCCTTGCTCTGTGGGCTGGTCAGTAGGCTCCTCTGCCCCCCATACACACACACCCCTGCAGTGACACAGTTACCTCAGAACTGAAATATTCCTGGAAATACCGGCCTCGTCTGGTTAATTTCATGAGCCGTTTTTCTGCCCAGATGACTTCGCTCTTGTTTATCCAAAGGTCTCCCCGCCCCACCGCCCCATGTGAGGAGCTGGTCCCCCAGGACGTCTCACAGGGCGCAGGAGAGGAGGGGCAAGCAGGGCCAGGGTAGGCTCCTGACCATCCCTCCTCTGGATGAAACGCAGGGCCAGCCCAGAGCCCTGGCTAGCAGGGCGCCCTGGGAGCAGGTCCCCACTTTCAGCAGGCTTGGCGCTGTCAAGGTTGGAGCTAGGCCAGACACCCTCCTGAGGGCTACCTGAAAGCTGGCGGGATTGCCTGCTGCCCCCCAGCAGGTCTCCACCCTCCAAAGCAAAAGCTGCCTCAGTCGGTCGGTCGTCGTTGTGGCCCCACAGGATCCTGCAGTTGGCTCAGCCAGGGACCTGGTGGAGCTGGTCTTGGGATGTGGAGCTAGGAGTAGGCAGGAACGTAGTCTGGCCAGAGCTAGGGGTGGGAAATTAGGATGAGAGGAAAGTTCAAAATGTGCCGCCCCTGATCTACACCCACCCCACAGCCTTTCACCTAAGAGCAGTGTCACTGTGACCAGGTCCACACTCCTCCCAACTCCACTAGTAGAGTCAGTCAGTCAAACACCTGGAGCCCTGATGGCCCCGTGGGCTGCTAACCACAAGGCCAGTAGTTCAAACCCACTAGCTGCTCAGCGGGGGAGAAAGAGGAAGCTTTCTGACGGATCAGAAACCACAGGAGCCTTTCTAGCCCATTCCATAGGCTCGCTGAGTCAGACTTGATTCTATAGCAGCGAGTTTGGTTTGGTTTCCGAGTCAAACATCTCAAAGAGCCAGTCAGTGGCCACTGACCCCTGGACAGTGATACACAATGAGTCCTACTTTGTGGTCATCGCCGAAACCGGAATCCAGCACTATCAATCAGACTCGTCTCAATGCTCAACTCCAGGCCCTCTCCTGACTGGGTTGTGTCTGTGTGTCATCAAGCGGGTGCTCACTCACAGCACCACAAAAGACAGAGTAGAGCTGCCCCAACTGCCTGGTTCCTCGGCTGTAGACTTCTCAGGACAGGCTCCTGCTGGCACAGTGCCTAAAGCGCTCTGTAGTGCATTAAGAGGTTGGAGACCCAAACCCACCAGCTGCTTCACAGGGGAAAGATGTGGCAGTCTTAGCGACCCTGTGGGTCGGTTCTCCTCGGCCTTACAGAGTCCCTGTAGGCTTGAATAGATGTGATGGTGATGGATTTACCATCCTGATGGGAGCAGACTGCTAGGTCTCTTCTTGTGGAGCTAAGGGTCAGTTTGCACTACGGACTTTTCTGTGAACCATGCCGCCAGGGGTCTTTGTCCTAACTACCACTCACTCCCTCACTCACTTCCATGTTGGTTCCAGCCCATAGCAACCATATAGGACTGAGCAGAACTGCCCCCAAGGCTGTAAGTCTTTTTTTGTGTGGATACTTTTACTGAGGGCTCTTACATCTCTTATCACAATCCACAGGCTTTAACTCTTTACAGGAGTAGAAAGCTTTGTCTTTCTCTCATCCGAATGTTGGTGTCATCCAATTACATCCAACTTTTGAAAAACTATCACAGCCACACATGTCTTTGTAGCACTGCTGGAAAGCACAAAAGGTCAACGAGAGGAAAGAAACTACTCGTGACTTAAACCCCAACTAGCCCTTGTAATGACACGCCATGCCCAAGCTAGCCTCAGCTCATCCCCTGCCTGCCCAAACCTAACCACATCTCCTGCCGGACCCAAACCTCAACCCAACACAACCAACCCAGTCCCAGAGTCTAAATAGCTGGGACCTGTAAAGCAGGGCTTCCCCGGGGTTCCGCTGGTCTGCCTTGCTGCAGAGGTTCCACCTGTCCACCGCAGACAGACTGGATCCTCAGGCACTTAGAGATCCCCAGTCCAGGTGATCTCTCTGTGTGCATAAGATGGCAGCAGAATCAAATGGGGATCTTGCTCAAATGTTGGTCCCATGATTCTGATGCAATCTCTCATGGGGGCAGGGGAGGACAGGAAAGGCAAACTCAGCAGCCGATCATTGAGCCAGAATGAACCAGGTGGCAGTCCTGAGAATAAACCAGGTGGCAGTCCTGCTTTGAAAGTAACCCCCACGTCCTTAAGTCTAACCCAGCCAATGCCAGTGTTATTCCTATCCCATCCAAAGCCTAGCTCCTTGCCTCGACCCATTGCCTATTGAGTCAAGACTAGTGCTCTTGACCTTGGACCCCACCGGAAAGGATGGAGTGCATGTTGTCCACCGGCCTTTGGGTCTGGCCTCTGAATCCTGTAAGCCCATATGCTTGGCCACTATTAGCGGACAAATCTGATTCATCAAGCGCATCTCCTCCCACCTGCACGTGCTCTTTCTCTCTTGGTCTGCCCTGCAGGGTGCTGGAAAAGCCTCATTCAGGCCACCCTTCCTCTTTCCCAGCACCCTAAGTGAGAATGGGCAGAGCTCCATACTGAGGCCAATCCCTGAGTGACCATGATGCCCCTTCAATCTGATTACTACCCTGTGTGTCCCCTCCCCAAGAATCCCATTGTAGCGGATACCCCCACTGACTCTAGAAGTCAGCTACCATGTTCCTCAGCACCCCCTGCTCACAGTTCCCCCAGACTCTGAAAGGTGCTGCTTGCTTTCCCTCATGCTGGGCTGGAAGAGGCGGCCAGGTACACACATAGTCCAGGAATGGCCCCAGCCTGTCTTGTACATACACACAAACACACACATTGGCACACATGCAGTCAAAGA